CCTATTAGTTTTCCTCATCGTGTCTCAGTTCAGGAATTATATTTGCATTTGCTTGGAAACATAATCTTATTAGATGTTTTTGCATAATTTTATTTAAGAGATAACAATTTTAGTGGATCTGCATGTTGCTAGACCAAAAATTGCGTCAAACGAGTTCCAGGTATTCGTTTTTTCGCTGGGAACAGTTAATTTTCTATTTGTTTTTGGATCGTATCGACAAAAATGTTCGTATGATTTAGTTTCATATTTTTCATATTTTAAAAGTGTGACACATGAAAGCGACGACGCCGAAGGATAGTACGAAAGAACGAAAATGGTAATTTTGTAAAGGGTCCCAAATATACTCGTAATTTCTTCAAATTTATTTTTTGGCTATGAGGTAGTCTTACATCAAGAATGAAACGATAACATTCTTATGAAATTTTATTGAAAAGTAATAAGAAAAACAAACTAATAATGTGTTGGATCGATACGAGTATCTGGTTGTGACACTTCATTCCAAAATAAAAAATAAAAACGTCTCGCCACGTGTAGGTCTTTGTTTGAAATATCTGCACATCCTCTTTAATACCTCAAAAAATCCGTTTTCATTTGTTATAACCCTCGTTAGCTTTGTCGCACTTGAAAGTACCGAAACACAATTATTACTGCTGCTTCAGATAATTAAAAATATTTCTGAGAGCATCTCTTGAGAACTTGTAAAAGAAAATGCTGCTATTTCGCTGCAAGTTTTTAATAAGATTTCCTGTTATCCTCAGATAAAGGAATTGAGATGTACTTAATCCTGCGACAAAGCTAAAAACATTTCTAAGCTTTAATTGTCGCCACTTTTCTTTGGAAAGCGCAGGCGACGAGGTACGTTTTTGATTGGTGTGTGCTACTTGACCTTGTTTTGTGGTGTCTCTTCAAGAGACGAACCTACTTTGGGTAACACTTCACATCGATTGACTGGGGCGAACAGCGTCTTGACTACGCACCGTATCTGAGGGGATGTGGCAGATAAGTATAGAGGGGTTCCACTTCCATGTTCCCCTCTAACTTGAAAATTTTCACGCACTTTGATTTTTTTTATTACGGCAAAGATTATTTGAACGTCAGTAAAGCAGGAAAACGAAATTAGAGGACTATTCCTCAGTTGCTCATAGCTCCGTCTCCATTTTAGCGATCTATTGGTATAAAGCAGCATTATCTACTCCGAAATATAATAATCTAAGCTCTATCAAAATTGGTGCGCCAGCTGATCATTTATTCCATGAGTAAAGCCCTTGTTACAAATATGAAACAGTCTTGATTTAGATAATTACATTGTAATGTTCATAAAACTTAGTTTGAACTCAACAGGAACTTCTAAACTAACTAACCTAAGGCGAGCTATGGGTTCATGCAAATTATAAGTTATTTGGTGGAACAGGACAAAAAATATACTAAGTGACATATAAATCCGAACACCCAGTTTAAATCGTTTTATTTTAATAAAATTTTGTATAAGTACTTAATGAAGCATAATAAGTAAACGATGAAAATTTCAAAATGATTGCACTGCTTTAAAGCCCTTTGACCTTTAATAATGTGTGGATGCACCCTGATGTGCTACACATTCTCCAACGCGCCTAGGCATGCTTCTGATCAGGTGGTCAATGTCCTCCTGTGGTATCTCATTCCAGGCAACCACCAACTCCTCTCAAAGTGCTTCTAGAGTCTGAGGAGGACGTTGCAAATTGAGCAATCTCCTACCCATCATATCCCACTCGTGCTCAATTGGGGATAAGTCGGGAGATCTTGGTGGCCATGGTAACAATGTGACATCATTATGTTGAAAGAAGTCTATTGTGACTCTTGCAACATGTGGTCGGGCATTATCTTGTTGGAAAGTTGGATCTGCCAGGGTGTCAAGATAGGGTAAAAGATGGGGTTCTAGAACTTCGTGGATATAACGCTACGCGTTCATGTTACCTCTGATGAAGATTAAAGGTGACCTAGAACCATAAGCTATAGCACCCCAAACCATAACTCCAACAGTGTGATGAACATGTCTTTCAACAAAAAACTGTGGATTTCTCCTTTCACCACGTCGCCTTCTAACCCTGGCACGACCATCGTGCATGTCTAAACAAAGTCGAGACTCGTCACTAAAGACAATACTGTTCCATTCCTGATCCCAGAGTGACCGTTGTCTGCACCACTCATCGCGATTACGTCGGTGTTAAAGGGAGGACCCAGTGTGGCCGGTATGAAAACAAGCCAAACCTTCTCATTAGTCGGTAAACACTTCGCATGCCAATAGGTCTTCCGTATTCTGCAAACCATTCATTTGCAATGGACGTGGTAGTGGAGAAACGGTCCTTTAAGGCCAATAATCTTAGGCGGCGATCTTCACGGTCTGTTGTTCTACGGCGGCGTCCAGTGCCCCTTGCTCTTTGCGTACGGCCTTCTCGAAGCCATGCCTGACAACACCTAACCACAGTGTCTACACTTCTTTGCACTCTAACTGCAATTGCCCGAAAAGAAAGTCCAGCTTCCCGAAGTCCCACTATACGGCCCCTATCAAACTCACTAAGTTGACGAAATCGTACAGGTCTGCGTACTCTAGGCATCGTAACCGATCGTAAAGGATGTCAAGAACCAAAATCCGCCAACGTTGATTCTTTACTGCGGCTGAAATATTCATTTTTAGAGCGTTAGTGAATTAAAAAAAAAGCAGTATAAAAACCGGAATGTCCAACTGATAAGGCTGAAAATTTTTTCACTTGTTATTTACAGTAAGATAAATACATTCACCAACTGTTATTAAAATAAAACCATTTAATCTGGGTGTTCGGATTTATATGTCACTTAGTATATATATATATATATATATCTGTTTGTCGCGTTCACATATTAAGTGAACAGTATCCTCGAATCTTCTTGACGTCGTGACGCCGACGTGGTGCACTTGATTGATTCAAAAGTATTTCTATTCGATTCCTTTCGGCGTATCATATAAATTGAGTGCCCACACCCCTAGGGCATTTCGATCCCAAGGGCTAGATCAGACCCTGCAGGGTTTCAAGTCCCAAAAGGGTCTACAGCCAGTTCTAGCACCTCCTCCGCCGACCGGCAGTGCATCAATTCCTGCACGCTGACCACTGTAAAGTGCATTTAAACCAGGACTACAACCAAAAGGGACCTTAGTGCCTTTAGCTGACTGTCAGGGACCCTACTGGGCCCACAATACCAAGAGGCTTATGTGACAGGACCTCCAAGGCATCGGGATGTTTAACAAAGACTTCTAATTCGTTATAAGGGCACTACATCCCTATTTCAGTCATTGCCTCGATATGCCACTTTGGCGTGTTGCTTTTCCCCTGCAAATCCCTGAACCTATTAGCATTGCCTCATGACGCATTCCTGACGTCCTGTTTATCATCTAGTGCTACCACAAGGCTTAAAAATTGATTTAAACCGTTTCATTCATTATAATAAATTCTAATACCGAAACCGAAAAATATCAATTTCTATTTCTGTGTAACACTTGGCAACAAAAACGACTGTGGTATGTCATAAAAACATCAGGTTTGCTTGAGGATTCGAAACTCTTTATAAGAGACAAAATAATGTATAGAACAGGGCACTATCCAAATTTTAGAATAACGGAATTATAATCAATGATTCATTTAAAATTTAACGTGAATACGGGGAGAGGTCAGAAAGTACGCAATTCACGACACCGGAAAAAACTTCATTACAAATTGTAGGATTTCCATTTCTTTCTTTATCCGTAGGAAATGAAAATTGTTATTTTTTGAGACATAGGTTTAGGTTCGACAGAGCTGGTATGGGAGGCAGAAGCTTGGCGGGTCCATGTAACAGGCCCAACATGCAGCAGCATCATGGAGGAGAGCACTGAGGAGCAAAACCCGTTGACATAGCGGTAGACTGGAGACGGGTCGCTAGTTGGCTGTTGGTGTGTGAGGCTTACGAGACTGTCCGTTAGAAAAGCGTCGTCGGTCACTCGGAAGCCTTCCTTTGAACAGCAATGATTAAGCAAAATGTAGTGGAGATAGCAGCACCCCAAATGCGTGAGCAGTATACGGTGCCACCTGGCACGAACACACTGAAGCGTTAAGAACCAGATTTCAAATTACGTTTTTTCTGCCCTATCGTATTAAGTTTGATCTAGATCAGAGTTCCCCAAACTTGTTTGTGTCGCAGACCCCTTGCCATGTTTTTCCGTGTTGGGTAGACCCCCTACTTACCTGATATTGATTTCCTGTAAATTTCTAACTGTAGTGAAGTTTAGTGTTAAAAACACATGTTAGTTTATACATTTATTAATTGAATTTAAATTAAAACTACTCAAAATAAAATTTTGTATCTGTTATGTAAAATATACGTAACATTAGATAAACAGGTGTATGACCAATAAGCGCCCGCATTGGGGATAAGTGCCCGCATTGAAAAAAAAATAAGAGGGATAAAATAAAAAAAAAGTGAAAAATAATAAAAAAAAAGTTTTTTACTTAAAATAGTACAATAAGCGAGTTCGTTTATTAATTATAACGTATGTTCTACAATAATTTCACTGTTAGTTTGATTAAATTCCGCTTCTTATACGTTTAAGTTATCTAAAAATAGGCAAAAAATTAACGAATTTTAGTGTGTACCTATCCTTGAATTTTCAGAATAATTAAAAAAAATATTTTCTTTAAAAAAATCAATGCGGGCACTTAATCCCAATGCAGGCATTTATTGGTCAGACACCAATAAACATAAAATAAACTATAAATAAAATAACATAAGCAACAAGTCAATTTTTTTACTGAGAAGGATGAACCTGATGCTTTAATAATAAATTATCAACATTTGGCGTCAATTTTGTAAGGGTTAATCTTAAATCTCCTCGGCTAATGATGTCCAGTCTGTTTCTTGTTTTCGAGATTGGTAACAGCGCTGAACCCCCTTTCCACTAGGTATGACGATGGAAAGGAAATTAAAAATTTCCTCGCTATATTCCATAATACGGGATAAGTAACGGGTACGTTTTGCAGCCAGAATTGCTGATATCCGTTTTTAAACTGAACTTTAAATTCTTCGTTTGTACTTAGTTCAGTCAGTTCCTCTTGTATTATGACATTGGTTTCTTCTATGTCACTATATGGACTAACTATCCACGGTGGTATTACCATAGTCAAAATATCCTCAAACCTAGATTAAAAATCTGAATAGAGGGCATTTAAATGCTGAACGTAAGTTGAAACGTCGTCTTCCTGGCAGCTTGTCTGTGACAAATTGGGGAACTGAGAAAATTCGCCCTGTCCAATATTTTGCTTCATTAGTTTAACTCTGGCAAGAAACGCTGATAAGATGGACTTTGTTTTAATCAAATTTAAACTGTCGCCTTGTAATTGCAAATTAACCATATTAAATTTTGTAAACAAATCTGTTAAATAGGCGATGTCTGTTTTCCTCTTCATTAAATTTTCTTTAAAATTTTATCTTTAGTATCCAGAAATTCTAAAATAGTCTCAAAAAGTGCAAAAAATCTTGTCAAACATAAGCCTTTCGACAGCCAGCGTACTTCAGTGTGAAGGAGTAATTGATGAAAGTGTTCGTCATTTTCTTCACACAACTGCGCAAATAACCGCGTATTCAACGCGTTGCTTCGGATTCGGCTTACTGCATCAATGACTAAATGAAGTGATTCATGCAATCTAACACTCAAATTTTTAGCAACTAAATGTTGTCGATGGATGACGCAATGTATTGCTAACACCCCTGACACATTTTGTTTTAAATAGCTTATAAATTCACGATAACGTGCAATCATGGCAGGTGCTCCATCTGTAGCTACTGATATTATATTTGATAAAGGAATTGCTTTTTCAATGAAGTAATCCTTCAAAACATGAAATATTGATTCACCTTTAGTGTCGGTTATCAAAGTTCTTGCGAAGAGCAGTTCTTCGTAGATTTCTTGATTCATAATAAAACGAACATATGCCAATAATAATGCTGCATTATCAGGTAAAGTTGACTCGTCCAGTTGTATAGAGGAATGGGTCGTTTGCAAATAATTACATAAGAAGCTTTCAATATCAGAACTCATTTCATCAATACGCCTTTCAACAGTATTGTTGCTTAAGGGAATTCTTTTAATGATATCAGATGCAGGTTTGTGTAAAACAGTTTTTAAAACCTCTTCAACGGCTGGCAAAATTAACTTCTCTCCGATAGTATGCGGTTTTCCGGATTTTGCTATAAGTAACGAGATATTGTAAGACGCCCGCAAACCATCATCATTTCTTTGTGACGTCGAAGCGAACATTCGGTCCAGTGTAGGTCTCTTCTGAAATTTATCTTTGAGTGTTTGAAAGTATTTCAAATCTTTCTCTGTTTTATCAGGGTGGCATCTTCTCAGATGATCTTGCAGTTTAGATGGTTTCATAGCGTCATTGCCCAAAACTTTGTTGCATAAAAGGCACATAGGCGATTGTTTGTCCGGCAATGATGGAATGAAGCCAAATTTCAAATAATCAACACTGTACTGTCTACATTTCTTTTTAGATTTGGACATGGCATCAGTCATCCGTGGGCAAAATTAAATTATTTAAATAAGACAGAAAATCCAGCAGCTGTATATTAAAAATATTTTTTGATTTTTCCGAAAACATTCCATAATTCGAACATCTTCTTGCAACAATTAGCTCGAATTACGGAGATTGCACTGTAATTATATTAGCGATTGCTAAAACTTTCAAAAAGAAACTACTGAGGAGTACTCGTGTAATTTTGCATGATTGAATATTTAACTACTAATAACTAAAGTCATGATTGGCGTAATTTATCTATGTTTGCTAACTACGAGTATAAAACTAAAATTTATTAATAAAATAATGTACTTACCTTTCTCCAGCACTCTCAAACAAAATAACACTGACTCACTATGATTTGTGTGATATACTATCTGTTTATATTTTTTAAAATATTTTCTTAGCACTTTCCTTTTCAAGATTCAGGAAACGAATAAACGTATTTGTCCCACATTCGTATTTATAGAGTGACGAATTAAACAAGTCAGTGCAAGGTAGCGACGCTCTGAGACTGCGACTCTCAGGTTTTTACAAGTTCAAAATGTATTGCGACCACAAAGCGAATACCAAGATCCTACAACTTACACAATTTTATAAACATATATAATAAATTTTTTACTTCATAGGTACTTTTATAAATAATGTATATGTTTTGGTATTATAAGATAGTATGATGTAAGTAAATAGGTACTATCAGTGTATGTGTTGAGATCCACTATCGTGGACGCCCATATTCATTTCATGGACCCCCAAATGTTTTTTCGCTGACGTAGACCCCTTGCAGGTTGTCATAGACCGCTAGGGGTCGATATAGACCACTTTGGGAATCAATGATCTAGATGGACATCGCTTCTTTCTCCCTAACTTCGTTTATCAGGACAACCATAACCGACAAACCTACTGAATATGTTAACCAAGGGCAAAACAGGAAAAGACCGATTTGACAGACAGTAACGAAGAAGCCAACTATATCAAGAAACAAGACCTCTCTTACAACCCAATAGAAATGCTTAGAGTAATATCTCACTCAAAGTAAGATTCTAAACATGCAGAAAATGAAATAGGATCAGCCTGGACAAAAAAAAGACGTATTTGGATTTTCTTTCAACCTATGACATTACAGTTACTTCAATCCCCTGTAACAAGAAGCCCTTAACAAATATCTGTCACCAGCTAGAAGAAAAAGGTGCCTAATGAAACAAAAAAATCGTCCGATAATGTAAACGTATACGAATCGAATATCCCAGCATCCATCCCGCTGCCTTCCAGACACACAAACTTCCAGAAGGTTCAACAATGGCATGCTAAAATCTACATATTTTTCGTGTATACAGGGACGGACTTAAATGGACATAACGAAATGGCAGGCAGTATCGTTTTTATACCTAATAATAGAAAAGTCAAATCTTCAATATCACATATCTCAGACACTATTAAACATATTTTGATGGAGTTTTATAAAATAATTACTTAGGGGGACGTAACGATTTTTTTAAATTCTTGTGTTTAATCAAAGTGAACACATTTCGAGCTTAATATTGAAATTTGACTATGTATAGATTGATTGCGCCTTTTTTGATTTTCATATTAAAGGTTTTTATTTATTCAGATACGTTTTTTTATTAGTTTATGTGACACACAACTCAATACTTCGATCATTGCCAACATGATTTCATCAACATTTTATGAAATAGTGCTTAGAGTTGAACTGAAGATATTTTGTGCTCTCCAAATTCTAGGGCCAAATGTAGCTTTTTCAACCCCCTCTAGCGGCTTTGTAAATATCAGGTAACCAAATAAGTTCGTGCGGTTTTTAGTAGAAAAATATAAATTTTTATTGAGAAACAATAAGACACCATTTATTCGTCGAATTACCATCACATTCAATGACCTTTTCCCAACGTGAAACCAATTTTTGTAAGCCGGTATTGTATTAAAAAGGTGATAATCACTGGGCGAAATGCTGGGAAAATATGGCGGGTGCGGTAACGTTTCCCAGCCGAGTTCAGAAATTTTTTCTCGGGTCACCTTTGCGGTGTGAGGCTTGGTGTCATCCTGCAAGAATATCACTTTCTTCGGATTGATCAAAGAAGGCTGTTTCTGGATAAGTGCTGCTTGTACTCGTTGAAGCTGCTCACGATTCAAGTTAGCAGTGATGGTTTGGCCCCTTTCCGAGGACTCATAATGGATAATTCCAGTTGCTGTCCACTAAACACACAACAAAACCTTGTTTGGGTGCAAGGAAGCCTTGGGCGTGCATGGTACCGACTCAGTAGGCGACAACCAATTATACGAAAGCTTAAAATTCGAATACAAGATCCATTTTTCGTCGCAGGTTAATAACCGATTAAGAAATGGTTTATTAGCGTTGCGTGAAATGTTTGCTGAACAAATGGTAAGACGATTTAATTTGTTAGTTCATGTGAGACTTATTTGCTTAACTTCCACGTATTTCCTAGCTGATGAAGATGCAAACGAATAGCTTCAGGACTCACTCTGAACATTTCTGCAAGTTCTTGGCATGTTGTCTTGGGATTTGCGTCCACAACCTGTCGAGCATCCTCGTTGTTCATGATTTTTGGTCTCCCTGAGCGCGGTTCATCGCTCAAACTGAGATCTCCCGAAGAACATTTTTTTAACCACTTCTGTGCTGTTCGATCACTAACGGCGTCATCTCCGAATGCGGTACATATTTTTCGCGCCGCCGCTGCAGCTTTTGTACCAAGTTTGTACACATACAGTAAACAACTTAGAATCAGTGTTTTGTTCGTCGCCATCCTCAATTATTGAAACTATTGAAACAATTTTACAACAACTTTTTATGTGTGTTAGAAAAGAAGGATTCATACTAAAATGACAGCAGGTAACAAACAATCGCTATCGATCAACAACATCCACGCCAATATGCGAGAAACAGCAACCGCACGAACTTATTTGATACTTTCTCTTCAATGGTTTATCAGGCTTACGGAATTCTGTCTGGGGTAAGAATGTAGCGACATGGATTTCCGTTATGGTAGCTGTAAAATGGTGGATGGTTCAGGTGGACAAATAGGCAGTGAGAGTAGTAGGTGATACTCAATCCAAGGGTGTTGAGAGAAACGTCAACTTCAGCACAACACAAGCTCTGCGTGTGTGCAACAGGATGGACTGCGTTGACCAGTGATTAATCAAACACACCTACAGAGAGGAGGTTTCAGTGTGAACGGGGGCCCAGTCCAAACGATAGTCAATTTCATCAAGAACTAATGCCTGTAACCGGAGGCGTGTAGTAGATAGACCTCATGGCTTGGTGGCAAATATTAGCGGACTGGGCATTTACCCAATTTCCAATCAACTTTCTGCGAACAGCTCCGCAATAATGGATACGTGTTTGTAGCACTAAGTACGTGTCTGTATTTATCTTGGATATTGAATCATGGAAAGCTATGGTTATAACAGGCCGAACATACTGATAACGGTGACCCTGTATTCAGGTAAACTGGACGATGGCGTTAGCGGAAATTGGGGATGTATAACTTGGCAAATCCTTTATGGAATGGAACTAGCTAAGCTCTCTCTATCCCGTCTGATAAATATTTACAGTGCTCCGACACTTTATATGCATATCAGTAGCCTCTAGTCGTTTATATTGCCGAGACGCCGAACGAAATTAGATATCGATTGAAAATACTAAACGCTTGGTACAGGGATTTTGAGTTGGAGGCACCCCGTGGCTCACTATCAGAAGTGGGATCGCGTCCAAACATCGCAATGGAGGATTGTTTAGAGAAGAAAATTGGAGGAGCTTATGACATAAATGAGGGGCGTTATTCAGGAGGAATCAGAAACAGTGGCATAGTTGCACAAGCACAAAGAAGCAGGCACAAAACATATGGCAGATCGGTCATGATCGATTTGTTATGTATGATGTATACTAGGTGACATATAAATCCGAACACCCAGTTTAAATGGTTTTATTTTAATAAAATTTTGTACAAGTACTTAATGAAGCATAATAAGTAAATGATAAAAATTTCAAAATGATTGAACTGCTTTAAAGCCCTTTGACCTTTAATGTTTGGATGCACCCTGATGTGCTACGCATTCTCCAACGCGCCTAGGCATGCTTGTGATCAGGTGGTCAATGACCTCCTGTGGTATCTCATTCCAGGCAACCACCAACTCCTCTCGAAGTGCCTCTAGAGTCTGAGGAAGACGTTGCAAATTGAGCAATCTCCTACCCATCATATCCCACACGTGCTCAATTGGGGATAAGTCGGGAGATCTTGGTGGCCATGGTAACAATGTGACATCATTATGTTGAAAGAAGTCTATTGTAACTCTTGCAACATGTGGTCGGGCATTATCTTGTTGGAAAGTTGGATCTGCCAGGGTGTCAAGATAGGGTAAAAGATGGGGTTCTAAAACTTCGTGGATATAACGCTGCGCGTTCATGTTACCTCTGATGAAGATTAAAGGTGACTTGGAACCATAAGCTATAGCACCCCAAACCATAACTCCAACAGTGTGATGAACATGTCTTTCAACAAAAAACTGTGGATTCCTCCTTTCACCACGTCGCCTTCTAACCCTGGCACGACCAACAAACTAAAGACAATACTGTTCCATTCCTGATCCCAGAGTGACCGTTGTCTGCACCACTCAAGGCGATTACGTCGGTGTTCACGAGTTAAAGCAAGGACCCAGTGTGGCCGGTATGAAAACAAGCCAAAACTTATCATTCGTCGGTAAACACTTCGCATGCCAATAGGTCTTCCGTGTTCTGCAAACCATTCATTTGCAATGGACCTGGTAGTGGAGAAACGGTCCCTTAAGGCCAATAATCTTAGGCGGCGATCTTCATGGTCTGTTGTTCTACGGCGGCGTCCAGTGCCCCTTGCTCTTTGCGTACGGCCTTCTCGAAACCATGCCTGACAACACCTAACCACAGTTTCTACACTTCTTTGCATTCTAACTGCAATTGCCCGAAAAGAAACTCCAGCTTCCCGAAGTCCCACTATACGGCCCCTATCAAACTCACTAAGTTGACGAAATCGTACAGGTCTCCGTACTCTAGGCATCGTAACCGATCGTAAAGGATGTCAAGAACCCAAATCCGCCATCGTTGATTCTTTTCTGCCGCTGAAATATTCATTTTTAGAGCGTTAGTGAATTAAAAAAAAAGCAGTATAAAAACCGGAATGTCCAACTGATAAGGCTGAAAATTATTTCACTTGTTATTTACAGTAAGATAAATACATTCACCAACTTTTATTAAAATAAAACCATTTAAACTGGGTGTTCGGATTTATATGTCACTTAGTATATTTATTGACTTCTCCAACAAAAGTGTACTTAGGACCAAAGCAATCCTACAATTGAGAATGAGGCGGATAATGTTTCCTGATTGCAAAAATGGTGAATGTTTCTACTCTAGTTCTAAGACCAAAAACTCGGAACAGCAGTGTAGTGAAAGAAATATTTCGTTAAAACACCTTGTGGGAAGGTGTTGGAAGGTGTCGTACCGCTGATGATTTGCTCAAGAATCCAGGAAACTGAAAATACAGGCAGCTTTTTAAACGCACTACTTATGCCTTACTTTTATAGCATTTACAAAAAATCTTAAAGGATTCCTTTTGTACACTTCACCAATACGCCATTCGAACCACTTTGTTACAAAACTTTACTAGAAAATGTCTGGATTCGCAAATAAAAACGACATTTCAAATCAAGAATTCTAAACTTTTCAAGAGGGAAATAAAGGGTTGCTTGATGTGACTGTACTTTCAGATCAGTTCAATATAAATTAGAAAATGCCTTCTCTTCTGGGAGGAAATCAATGACAGTTGTCCACGGAATTAGCTAATGAATCTCTTTTAGCTACCAAAACAAGAAGGTTAGTCAAGAACTTACAACTTAGGCCATAAAAGTTACGAATGTCCTCCGCTGGTGCCATCTATGAAGCAGACATTAGAACACATCAAAACTAGCTCAAGTCTGCTGGCCTTTAGGCAATACACTCTGTGAATACAAGAGAACATGAAGTGAATGAGGCCTATACAAAATGGTAAATATGTCGATCAGATCGCTATGCCAGTCACGTAGTGACAGGATTTTGTCTCTGGTAGTATTGTTTAGCCTTGCTACGACAGCACTCTAGGTCCATCTCGAGGAGTAATTTCCAAACTCCAAACGATATTTGCGAAAGACTATTTGCCGTTTTTACAAACCGGGGTCACATTCAAAGTTGTCAATTCTAGAAAATGTATCGTTTATCGTACCATCTCGCGATACAAACGCCTTCAATAAGGGTCATTTTTCATCTGGATTCCTACCTTACTTTTTTACTATACGTCATCTCCATAATATCCACTTGTGGATCCATCCTCAAATTGAATAGGAGTGGAAAATTTATCGAGAATTTATACGGATCAGAATTTTATCAGACGTCGCATTATTCATTCAACCCTTTCCCATGTATTTTCCAGACGTTTTCACGGTTATCTGCCCGATAGATTCTGTGGTATAGATGATATTATATCAGATGACGCTTTCACAATGGCTCTCGAAAGTTCGACAGGAGATAGGTCTGGTTACATGGACGTTCAAGTGCGTCAGTAACGATGCACTTTAGGATGGTTCCTATTCGCCAGGAGCGAAGTGCATAGTGGGGGGCCTAAATCGGTCTTCGCGCATGCCCAGATACTTCGTCCTAAAATTTTTTGCACTAGGTTTATAAGTCATTACATGAATTGATTTAGAAATAATTGGTGCAGCCGGATTATACAGGGTGGCGCATCGAAAACGAAACAGACGCATTTACTGGCAGCTCACTTCTTTTTTTGAAAAACGCTCAGATCCGTCGATTTTGTTTTCGAGGGAGACACAAAATCGTAAATGAAAAGGGGGGTCGAGTGATACCTTATTGTAAAGGTCTTTCAATTCCCTTTATAATGATATAAAATTAATCTACTTCAGTTCAGTAGTTTTGAAGATTTATTGATTTAAAGCTTAAATAAAACTGATACATCATCATTACTGGAAATCAATACATTTGGCAGCAAGGTAATTTAAAAATGAAGAATGAACTGACCCGTTAGGCAAGTAAATATTGAAAATGGCCACCATGATTCTCCATGCAATAATAAAGATTTTTCTCGAAACGTTACTGCACATTTTGCAATGTTTGAGGAGTAATTTGAAGGCACACATTTACAATTCTTTGTCGCAGGTCTTCTAATGATGTTGGCTGAGTAGCATAGATTTTGCTTTTTAAATGACCCCACATAAAGAAATCCAAAGGTGATAAATCTGGAGATCTTGGAGGCCATTCACAATGGCACCTCTTCTACCAATCCATCGATCTGGAAACGTCTGATCTAAATATAGTCGAACACATAATGCGTAATGTGGTGGGGCACCATCCTGCTGGAACATCAACCTATTCGCAATGTACCGCCGATCACACTCTGACTTTCAATTATGGCTGTTAATGCAGGATCTATGGCGTCTTCCAGTAATTCCAAATACATTTCGCCGGTCAAATTTCCAGATAAGCAAAAAGGACCAACTAAATGATCGCCAAAAATGCCAGGCCAAACATTTAATTTATTT